TTTCTACTGAAGCTGCTTCTTCATGTTCTGTGTTGCTGTTAATAATAAAGTCTCACCTAAAAAGACTGCAGAGTCTGAACTGAAGCTAAACGGGATTATGAGTAAAGGTGACGCATGTACCTGTGTGACTGCACCGTTTTCAGGGTTACCTGCTGAGCTGGGATGTGTTCTGGGATCTCACGAGTAACATCATCATCTCCGGCTGCGACTCCACGCTCACTGTGCTGGGGATGAGTGCTGTTATCTCCTCTGTTGCACATTACCTGGGTCTCAGCATCCTGGCTTTCATAGGTATGACTGAGATTGTTAGTTGGAGTGGTAGCAGGTGTAAAAGCCTTCCTGATTTGCCCTTCACGAAATTGTTTGGATGCTCCTGGAGTTGAACACTTTCTTAATTTGAACCTTCAGGTTCGACTGAGGAGGAGGACAAGCGGTTGGGCTTTGTGGCTCCTGTCCTGTTTTTCATCCTGGCTCTTCAGACTGGCCTCAGCAGCCTGGAACCTGAGGAACGTCTGGTACGTCTCGGATTCGTGCTTCTAATTTACACCGTCAAAGCAGCCGGCAAACTGTTTTTCTCTCATTTTTTTGGTGTTTTAGCCCGGGGGTGGGCAACTCCAGGCCTCGAGGGCCGGTGTCCTGCAGGTTTTAGATCTCACCCTGGGTCAACATACCTGAATCACATGATTTGTTCGTTACCAAGCCTCTGGAGAACTTCAGGACATGTTGAGGTCATTTAACCATTTGAATCAGCTGTGTCGGATCAAGGACGCATCTAAAACCTGCAGGATACCGGCCCCTGAGGCCTGGAGTTTCCCACCCCTGTTTTAGTCTCTTTGTGAATTGTTATGTTGCCCTCTAAACTACCAAAACATGTTTAATGATTTATACTGCAAATGACATTTGCACACAGTAGCAGAGTTCACTGTTCCTTTTGTAATCCTGTATTCCTGTGGTTATAACGTAATAACTTCGTACACGTAACTTAGTCTTGGTTTTGATCCACAGGTCCGCCTAAGCCGGAACATGTGCCTTCTGCTGACCGCCATCCTGCACTTCATTCACGGCATGACTGACCCCGTCCTCATGTCTCTCAGCGCTTCCCATGTCTCCTCTTTTCGGCGGCATTTCCCCGTCCTGCTGGTGTCCCTGGCGCTCTTTGTACTCCCCGTGGTGCTCAGCTACGCCCTCTGGCATCACTACGTCCTCAACACCTGGCTCTTTGCCGTCACCGCCTTCTGTGTTGAGCTCTGCCTCAAGGTGAGCGCAAACAATTTATCTTTGACTGGAATGGATGACGTCCAATGTCTCCCAACGTTTTCACAGTCTGTGAGATTTTTGTGTGTTATGTTAGTCATTCAGTTTCACGTATGTGAGGTTTTTTGGACTCAGCATGACTCAAACTAATGAAAAAAATTAATGAATTAACATCCTTGCGGCCCGGCCGGGCACAGGCCGAAAACGGGACACCACCCGCAGGAGGCACCTTAGGGGTCGGGTGCAATGCGAGCCGGGCGGCAGCCAGGAGCGGAGGCCCTGGCTGACCCGATCCCCGACTACCAAGACTGGCAATTGGGACATGGAATGTCACCTCTCTGGTGGGGAAGGAGCCTGAGTTAGTGCGTGAGGTTGAGAGGTACCGGCTAGATATAGTTGGGCTCACCTCTGCAGAGGGGGTGCAGTTACCAGTTGGTGAGCGGGTCGGTCAGGGTGGTACTTTGTATTCTTGGCTTGCTGTGGTATGTCTGGGGCTTTTCATTGGAGGGGGTTTGTTCTTGTGGTGTCGGTTGGGTGGGGTGGGTGGGCGGCTGGAGTTGGCGGTTTGTTTTGTGGGTGTGTGGGGTGGTGATGGGGGGGGGGTTGGTGCGGCCGCTAGTGATGTGGATGCTGTCGGTCTGTTGTGGTGAGGGAGCTGAGTGTAAAAGTGAAGCTCTCAATTTACCGGTCGATCTACGTCCCTACCCTCACCTGTGGCCACGAGCTGTGAGTAGTGACCGAAGGAATGAGATCACGAATAGAAGCGGAGGAGGCCCCGTGGCAGACCCAGGACACGCTGTAGAGATTATATCTCTCGGTTGGCCTGGGAACGCCTTGGTGTTCCCCCGGATAAGCTGGAGGAGGTGGCTGGGGAGAGGGAGGCCTAGGCTTCTCTGCTTGGGCTGCTTGCCCCGCGACCCGGCCCCGGATAAGTGGAAGAAAATGGATGGATGGATGGATGAAATTAACATTCTATGGTCAAGAAGAGATCAAGAGATCCGGAATAGTAAAACTTGTTACTTAAATAATCAAATGTGTAACAATAATGACCGGATTGATGTGCATATAAGAGCATGATTTAGCCCTACAAAGGAGTCAGTAAGGATTCTGTTGTCTGTTTGTCAGCGTGGGATTGAGTGGAGACTGATAGTATTCTGCTTATTGAGTTTATAGTCTGTGCCTACAGTTAATTAGTATTTATGTTCAATTACACTTATGGCTTCCAGCATTTATGAAAACAAGAAATAATCAGGATTAAATGATTACTTGTCTGGATTCCTTTTCACAGTTATGCTCTCGCTTTGTGTTTTGTGCTAAATCCAACGCACCACTTTTCCTTTGCAGCACGTCTCTAAAAACCCAAACTCACTCCTCGATAGGCGAGGGGAGAGCCGAGGTGAGGGCCAGGCTTTGTCAGCAACAACAGTAAAACTGATTCAGAGAGGTGGACAAGGAACCACAGATACTGTTTGTAAATTCTTAAGTGTTGTGAGTTTGCATATAAAGTGTTTCTACTGCTTAGAGACAAATGTAACTATAAGAACATGGAACCAGGCTCCTACATTAGATATTCTGGGCATGCTCACTTGACTAAAATTAGCCTGGGGACCCGCTGAGGAATGGCGAGTTTGTGGGTGTCGAATCGAAACTGTTCTGAAGGAGAGCGGCGACACATTTTTAGACTGTTTACTTCAAGCTTAGGGTCCAAAAACATTCCAGCTGTCACCAGAGGTCAGCTTCAGCTCCGTGTCACAGAGGATGTCTGGCTGTTGCATTTTTACGTTTGTGAATGTTCATTATTCAGGGAGTAAACTTTAAGGAACAACAATTTAAGTAAAGATGTACAAACTTCAACTAAAACATGAATTGTGAGTTCAGGCGATCAACAGCATGCAGGATATTTTTGTTCTTTCTCAAATTAACTTGGAGCATGCAGTGAAGCATGAACACACACACACACACAGAGCAGAATTTAAAGGAGAGTGTGGGTCAGAGTACCACTTGTCCATATTCTTAGTTAACATTCTTGTTTTGATTTAACCATATTTCATATGTAGTCTGCAATAGGCAAACATCTACTATCCCGGGTTTGTTTATGTTTTGCACTTTTACAGATTATATAATATAACATCTTGGTTTAAATCAATTCCTACAAGTTTGTTAAGTTAACATGTTATTTATTTCAACTGTTAATTTGTATTGTTTAGAACTTACCTTACCTACCTGTCTTCCAGAAACAAAAGGAGGAAATGTAGTTTTACTTCCTGCTTTATACCTTCTTGCTGTA